CCATAAACCTTTCCTCATAACATTGGGTACATATATACATACAAAAACAATTTTTCTAATAATTTTAAGAGGTTTCCAGACCACCTGAAACTCATTTATGGACTCTTCCTATTCCCCCCCAGCAACCATAAAAAGAGGTACACTTTGTTCTCGTTGTCACAATATGAAATTACAGTATTTGTTTATTGCCTACTCATGCCAGGCACTTTAGAAGCTTGACTGTTAAGGCTGTTGTCCTACAAATAATATTGTTACTAACAATATAATTATATACAGATATATCGTCTGTAGAAGGTGAGAGAAAAGAAAGGGAGTAAAGGAGAGAGAACATTAGTACAAGAATCCCCAGTGATTAGCATAATACAGCCACCAAGAAATGTAGAGTATTAGAGATCCTGAATTAGGGACTGTTACCCATTAATGGAAGAATACTTAGAATGTGCAGATACCTGTCCGTGGCCACTTTCATCTTAAATGCCATTGGGAGAGGAGTAGGAAAGTTGGATGAAATAGTTGAGAGTGGCGAAAACATTTGGTATCTTTTTCTTTCTTTGAGAAGAAATTCCTAGATGCTGCAGCATTTCACGCAGAAGGCTTGGTCTTTGAGAATTCTTGATGAGTTTTGCAAGTAGAATTTCTCTAGGGGGCTGCTTGACGGTAAAAAAAAGTTGGTTTAATTTACTTGAGTTTTTTGGTCTGTGCTTATATTGAGATATATTTAATATGATTATACTTAGTTCAGCTTTTCTGGTTTACATTTGTCATTCCTGTTTTCATGTTACCTGGCCTTCAGAAGTTTTGCAGGAATATTTGAGTACGTTTCATTTGGGCATGAGAAGGGAAACTGGAGGTACACCATTCTTTAGAGGGGAAAGGGAACGATTTTGATGTCGATCTCAACATCAGTCGGTTCACTTGAGAAAGTGAAAATTTTTACTTGTCTAAGGCAGTGGTAAATAGAAGAGAGAAGACCAGAGTTCTTTAAACTGAAATTTAATCAGACCACTAACAATGATGGCACCATTTAGTAACAGATTTATATAGACGTGGGCAATACATTTCAGTAGCAATGGAAAATATGAATTAAGTCACTGAGGAACTGTCCATTATCTGTTAATTCAGGAAATACTAAAAAAGACAGTTTTGGTAAAGTTGGGATGAAAATGATATGCTTGCCCAGGACAGGTGGTGATGAAAGTTGATGCAACAATTTTGGAGAGCAGTTTCGCAATTTGTAACAATTGTTCACATTCTTAGTCCATTTCTGGAATTTTATTCTGGAAAGTGATTTAAAGCATAAAAACCCTGTACATGAAAACATTTACTGTAGTATTTTTTGTAATGTTAAGCTAGAAATACCCCTAGTGTACAACAAAAGAGGAGTGATTAAATCATAGAGCATCAAACACTTGATGGAATGCAATTAAAAATGGTGCCAAAGACTATAACAACATGGAAAAATATTTTTCATAGAAGAGAGCAAAGTACAACCATATGGGTTGTGTATTTATGCCTTGAGTATATAGCTGTGTAGTAATTAGCTGTGCATTGCACAAAGACTGGAAGGAAATAGGAAAAATAAAAAACTGTTGATAACATTAGGGTGGTGTCAGTATAGATGAAATTTAGATATCTTTAATTGCTATTATTTTGTGCAATAATGAAAAATTTTAGACAGTCTTCTCATTTTATATGCTTATGAATTATGCTCAATATTGTCTTAGGAATTTAACTATTTGGTATGAAGAGTATTTTTGCCCCTAATGGGCAGCCACTGTTTCAAAACCGTTTATAGAGTAGAACATTCCTCACTGATTTGAAATGCTACCTTTGTTACATAATTTCCATGCATGTTTCTGGACTCTCTGTACTTGGTGGTCTCTGTGCCACTATTGCACTGTTTCAATTACTATGGTTTTAGTGTAAGTTTTGGTTTGTGAGTGTTGAGTTCTGATCTTTCCCCACCCCCAGCTCAAACATCATTCTTCCTCAAAATGTTTGTTTGTAGTCTTGTGTATTTATTCTTCCAGATGAGCTTTAGAATAAGCTAGTTGAGTTTCATCTGAAATATTCACTTTCGGTTTGGTTAGAGAACATTAAATTTATCGATTAATTTGGGGAGATAACCTTGCCTATTATGCCTTTTATTGTTTCTAGAAGGTTCAGTGAAATAGCTGAGTGGTTTTTTAAAAATTTAGGGTATAGCGAATTGACAGAGGTGATAACACATCTATTATTTCTGTGTAGAAGCAGAGTGATTCTGATATTGATGCCAACAAATTCACTTAGGGAAGTTTATAGTTCTCAATTGCTTACAACAAAGTATGCAATTGAATCCAGATGGAGAAATGATGGAGGCACACTGGAATTCTGTAAACTCGAATTTATCTTTGCTATTAATAGAATTTGTGGCCTTTCAAGTAAAATAGCAGATTTTCAGTGGCCACAGTGATTAGAAAGACCCCCACCCAATCTTAATGAAAAATTGCCACCTGTAGTTGATTATGTTGTACCTTGTTCCTCTGCACAGTTTCTTCCTGCTGATCTCCTTTGTAGCTTTATCTAAACTTTCTTTGAGCTTTATCTAACTTTTCTGAATGAGAATGTACCTTTGCATTCATATTTTCTTCCCCTGTCTTCCCCTTTCTCTCTTGCCACCTCTCTCCCTAACTCCCACCCATCCCCTTCTATCTCATCGGGTCTTCCTCTTGGTTTCTTTGTCACCCTCCTTCCCTCCTTCTCCTGTAATTACACTACATCTTTTTGATCTCTTTGTGATTAGCAAATAATAAACTCCTTTTATGCTGAATATTATCCTTAATGCTAGGACTTCTGGGCATTGCTCTTTAATGGACACATATAATTTCTGACCTGATTGTCGTTTATCCTCTTTTCTCAATGTAAAATATGGTATGGTCTTGAAATGGAAGCATAAATGAATTATGAAACTACTGTTTGGATTGCACTGAAAAGGGTTGCAGTTAAACTCTTTCATAAGTTGTAGTTCTTGTTCACCCGAGCAGATAAAATAGTAATATGATCATTGTTTTAAATGGATACAGATTAGGTATCCTTGTGATCTGTGAAAAACTTTGATCTGTATACGCAATATGTTTTCTATTTTAAAAAAATCAACAGGTCAGGTCAGATTCTGTCCATGAGTAATTAACAGTCCCCTTTAGCAACCAGGAACATGACTAAAGCAAGCTGTTCTTCCTTTTTTAGGAAATGGAATTTCATCTAAGTTTCCTCTCTCAGTCATGTCAGACATTTGTTATTGTTTTTTTTTTTCAGATCCTCTTCCTGAACTTTTTTTTTTGAAGCTATTGTATGGTAGATTTTTCTTGGCATGTTACTTTCTATTGATTATGTTTGTGCATGTGGGCACGAGCTCACATACAGAGAAGGGACAATTCAAAATTGGAAACTGGAGACATTTTTTTGGAACTCCACAATTTGCATTTATATCAATTCAAAATGTACAGTAATGTTTCTTGTGTGTCATGGGTTACAAACCACTAGGAAAACCTAGACTTCTTATTTTTAAAATTTTAGAAGCAATAAGCAGGTGGTTTCAGGAAAGAGGAGCTCCACCTCGATTTTTTTTGTGATACCGATTGGCCTAACTCTTGATATGCTGCAGAATATCATGCTAATATTCATCAAAGGCAAACAGCTGTGGGAGAGACTGTGCAGACTTCTCTCTGCTCACTTTTCTCCCCTGTCACAGGGTGAGGCATCCTCGGAGGGTGCGTTTGTTTGGTTGGGCAAGCACACAGCAGCCCAGATGCTCCTCCAGGCTGGGCCGGGCTGAGCTCTGGAGGCCCTCCAAGGTGGGCGACCCCTTCCAACTCCTAGTTTCCATTTCCCTGCCACTCCCACAGGCTGGGCGGAATGTACCCTCTCCCTGGAGGTCCCCTTTGTATTGCCATTTTTATGTTTGAGGGGAGGGAGTGTCCCAAATCCCTCAAGGCCCCAGGATCATCTGGCAGGCTCCTCCATCCCCGCTGCTCCCTTGTAAGCACTGCGGGTGTCGCCCCTGCGCACAGCCTCTGGATGGTGATGTGTCCATGCGCACTAGCCTGCTGTTGCTGCTTCCTCCACATTCCTTCTTTCCTTAGGGTGTACCTTGGTGACTTGGGCAGCGCCTCTCCTGGGGACTGGGGTACTTAGCAGGACTCTGTTCCAATCAGAAGCTCTCAAGAGAAAGTGTGAGGCTCGGTTGGGTGAGAAAGAGGACCAGGATATCCTCCAGAGAGAACAGATAGCTACTGGGAAAGGCACAGCAAGCCTGCGAGCATGTGGTGCTATTTATTTGGCAATGTGTGTGAATATGTATATAACACAGGGTAAGGCCAGAGCTAAAGAATAATTATTTTGAACTTTTACCATGGTGGTGTCTCAGAGGAAAAAATGCAAGCAATGGTGTTCATCAGGCAGGAATTTAAACAGAGTAAATGACAAGGTATTGTATTTTCACATCTCTTAAGGAAAAAAAAAATTTTGCCCTGACCTGTGTGACTCACTTGCTTGGGTGACAGCCCTCAGGACAAAAGGCGGCTGGTTGGATTCCCAGTCCGGGCACAAGCCTGTGTTGTGGATTCAGTCCCCTCTTGGGGCGTGTGTGAGAAGTGACTGATCATTGTTTCTTTCTCATGTCGATATTTCTCTCCATCTGTTTCTCATTCTCGTTCCCCTCTCTAAAAATAAATAAATAAAGTCTTTAAAAAAAAGAAAAAGAAAAAGTCTTCCCTACACTCCAAACTTCTTCAACTTTAAAAACAGAACAAACCAGTTCTGACACTCATACTTCAGAATCTCAGAAAGCAACTCCCTGTCATCTAAAATATTGTTGGAAAGAAGGGTTTGTAGTATTTGAGCTCACTCACATGAAGGGAAAGTGACAAAGTGTCCTGGTTGGGACACAGGTCTTTTTTATTGTCGTTTCTTAGAGCCAGGATGAGGAAGAGTGCTGATGCCCCAACTTATTCATTTTTCAGGGGCAGATGACGGTCTATGCAAAATTTGGCAAAAATGTCTATCTTCCTAAGGACGCCGAGTTTTACTTTATTTATAATGGATCTCATCAGAGACACGTCATGCTCGCAGAGCGCACGGAGGATAACGTTCTCCAGTCCAGCGTTCCAGGTGAGGTGTGCTCTCCGCCGCGGAAACTCTGTCTGTAAGCACCTTCCCCCAGGATGTGGGCTGGGGAGGAAACCAGGAGGAGAAAGCGGGCAGTGCTCCAAGGAGGGACGGGTGTGTGAGAGTATGCCTGTGTGGGTTGTGCGTGTGCGAGGTTCTCCCAGCTGTCTCTGCAGCTGCCTGAGCAACCGAGCCTTATACTCAAGGTTGGGTGTGCTCTGGATGTAGTCCAATGGAGGTGACACTGTATCTTAGATCCCCTCCTGGAGTCCCAGATCCCATTGCTGGGGATGGCTCAGGCAGAGCGCAGACGTTGACAGTTGTCTGAAGTCTCCCTCCCTCATTCCTGTGGCCAGCCCAGCAGGCTCAGGAGCTGCCTCTTCTTACTTGCCCCTTTTGGTGGCTGGGGTTCCTTACCTGGCACCCTGTCCATGCAGATGCTTCCTGGCTGGATCTCAGGTTCCAGAATTTTCTCTTTCCACCACCAGAATGGTCCTGTTCAAAAACCTGTAATCCTCCCAGCTAATCTCTTCAATCACCATGGTGATGGAAGACAAGTTAATATATCACGTTAATGAGTTATCATAAGCTGTTAGCCTGTTTCAGATAAAAGTGTTTTGTGTTTTCACTGAGTGTTGGTTGTGCATTGAGACAGCAAGCTCTAGCCTACAGGTGTAATTAAGATGTCAGTCATTACCGGCAGGGAGGGAGGATTTGGTTGTTCGCACTTGTTGATTAATAACTTTTATTTAACTGTGGGTCTTTCAATTACTCTTAAATTGTATTATATAGGGAACCATCAAATTTTCTTATAGGTAAGATTGGCCTCATTTTAGAGGAACAATGTTTCTAGGTCCTTCTGTAGTATATCTATTACTTGGGGAAGAAGGTAAACTGTAAACATGCAAACACAGGCATAGTTAGATCTGTAGAAAGGTGATAAGTTTCACCTTTCAGCTACCTGGGCTTGAATCAATCTGTTCTTTGGGCAATTTCAAACACTCCTCTCTCTGGTTCAATGTCTTCCATCTTTAAAAAAAATGGCAAACCTCATTCATGACACAGAGTTACTTTGCACGTGTCTTTTGTCTCTGCCTGTTTGCTTTGGAATTAAATTTTTGTTTTTCCTGCCTTGAGCTTCCCCCTCTTTTTTTAGTTTACACTTTTATGAAGCCCTTTGTAGAGAAAGAATAAAAACAACTAAAGTGCCACTTCTGATATCGAAACTTTTGTTTTGTCTTTACTTGCATATCAGGGTGAACCTCCTTCCCACTTCTTGTGTTTTGAAGACAGCATTTTTGATTATATTGTGTCCTGTTTAGAAGAGAGGGTTTTTACCTTCATTTTTAACAGAGTTCCTAAGGCAGGTGGTAGTCCCTGTCTCTGAACCTTAAATCTCCCTGGTTACAGCTTTACTGGGGTAACCTCTTGGAATTACGTAGAACAGATTTTTCTATTACATATTGGACATGTGTAGGCTGGGGGCAGGGCTCCATTCTGTGCCTGCACGTTAGTGGCAGTAGTTCTTGTTTAGTAAACTAGGATGCTCTTGTTCCTTGAAGCCTGGGCATGTTGTGTTAGGAGAAAGGCTTTGGAGAATGAGGGGGAGCAGGAATGACTTGCATTCATTAGCCATATGCTTGGGGGCCAGTGGTGGCTGAATGTTAACCCTTCTCCTGCCCAGTTATGATGATCATAATACAGAGGTTTGGCGGCATTAATTTTTGGAAGTTCTGCCAAGGGAAGCGTAAAAATAGAAATTCACCAAATTGGCAAGATGACAGAAGAGAAGCATAAGGAGGAGGAACAAATAGCAGGATTAGGTGACCACCCACAACAGAATTATTAATACCTGCAAGACAGAGAAGCCTTTGTCAGAAGTGGGGAATACAGAAATATGTAAATATTTCTGTTGAGTAGTCTTCAACCACCCTCTCTCACATTCAGCGAAGCTCTGTGGAATTAGGATGAACTTGTGCAACTGTTGTGCTACTTTATAAAACTATCATCTAGATAAATTACATAAAAACATGTGACTCAGGAGGAAATGGTAGAGCAGAAAAGGGCAAAGACCTTTAAGATGACAAACTTGAATTCAGGGATTGGGTAGAAGTAAGAGGTGAAGGTGTGCCAAATAACAGTGCCTAGGAAACGTAGGTGAATAGACACTGAAATGCTCAGAGCTCATAAATGTTGCTTTTAAAATCAGGCGTCACTGGGAGAAGATGGAGTCAGCTTTAATGTGGCAGCATTTAAAGATGACTCACTGCATTTCCGTTTTGCCTTTGTCTCCTGCGGCATGTGGTCTGCTTAGGCAGCGTAGTGAGATGGGTGACCACTAGCACTTGGGACACATGAGAGCATTTCCTATCGCCTCTGGGTGAACTGTTCACTGTCTTGTTGTCTAGGCCATGGGCTTCAGGAGACAGTGACAGTGTCTGTGTGCCTCTGCTCAGAAGGTTACTCCCCAGTGACCATGGACACCTGTTCGATGACCTACGTGGACAACATGGCCTGCAGGCTGGCCCGCCTGCTGGTCACGCAGGCCGATCGCCTCACTGCCAGTAGCCATCAGACCTTGCTGACCCCGTTCGCGCTGACGGTGGGAGCATTGCCTGCCTTGGACGAGGAACTCGTGCTGGCTCTGACGCATCTGGAGTGGCCTCCGGGGTGGACTGTTTTGGGAAGTTCTTCACTTGAAGGTGGGTCTTCACCAGAAAATTTGCATGTCTCCTCTCTGTGTCAAGTTCAGAATATGTCTTAAAATGTATTGTCTTGTTTTCCTCCCCACTTTTGACCCAAGCCTCGCTCTGATGTGGCTGGTTACCCCAAGGTCCTGAGCCACTCATCGCAGGGCTGGTTGATGCTATTCCCTTCCAGGAGGTGAAGAGCTGCCTCAGGGGGGAAGGACTTCTCTTCGTGGAAGGCTCTTGAGCCAGCTGCTTTGGGCTGTGGCTCCCCTTCCCTTGGCAGGTTTTCTTGCTGGGAGTTGGGGGTATTGCAGCCTGTTTCCAAAGAGGGAGAGCCATCGGGCAATGAAGAGCGTGCAGCTAACTCTGGGAAACGTTGAAAAGAAATGTGGCCATGAAAGAAATGTAACCATTGTGTTGACATCTTTAACAATATCAGTTTCACTGTGAGCATTCAGATTATATTATTGGTGCTAACTTTTCGAGTTACCTCTGGATACCTCCTGTTTACTAAAAGACTGAATTGACTCTAAATGCCAACCATTTCGAATTTGTGTGAATGGAGACGATATTGTATAAAAGCTAGGAATGAGGCTAAACTATTCAATAGATACTTATTATCTTGATACAAATTCCATAATTTTATTGAAACTACAGAGGTGTTGCTCTGTAGTATTTTACTGAACACAACATTTACTATTGCTGCTTCTCTGTATTCTTCCCATGACTTTAGTTTTGTGGTTGGATAATGGTATTTTCAAGAGTTCCTGCTTTGTGATAAAATCTGGTTACAGGTTGGTTTAAATTTGATCATGGATAACATTAAATGCACTACTCTAGGTAAAGGGTTATGATTTTTGTAAACAGAACCATAAGACGATAGTTACAATCAGAGAGGATCTGTGTCTTTCCTTTAATCAGGGTTATACAGAAATTCTCCTGGATACTTAAGAATGTTTCTTATTTCTTAAGACCTTGTATGACAGGCATCGCAAGCCTAGTTGAGCTTTAACACATGTCTGACTCTTGCGTGCTGCCCCGGGTGGTAGCTGATGGCTATGCATGCAGGGGTGGCTCCCTGAGGGAGTGGGTGGTGTCTGTGCTGCTCTCTGTTGTCCTGAAGGACCTAGCAAAGGGCTTGGGACATAGCAGATACTCAAGCACTATTTGTTGAATAAAATGAAGGTGTACCCTTAGACCTTCATATACATGCAGGGGTGGGCAAAAGTAGGCTTACCGTTGTGAGTACATGAAAAACAGTGTTTATTCTTGTATTATTATTTATTAATTATTGTATTATTTCTTTTTATTACAACTGTAAACCTACTTTTGCCCACCCCTGTATGTAGGAGAAAAAAATGTTTCCTGGCAAAGAAACTATTTATGTTTATATGCACATATGTACATTCATATATATACATGGATATATTCATATATTAACTCATTATATACATGTATATTTACATATATTCATTTGCATATGTATGTAACTGAAAGTAGATCCTGCTGCCTGCCACTACAAAAGAGGCAGGTCCTAATATGATGGAAAGTGGTTCATTTTCAGGTGCCAGCAACCTGGAAGATGGGCTCATGCCACAAAGCCCGTCTCTTGGGAAGATGGGCGACTTACATGTCACAAATTCCATCTCCACCTCTCAGTGAAGGCAGAGGTTTTTATAAGGAGGGAGAGGAGACCAGAACAAAGAGATCAAGGGAGGGGGTTGAAAAGTTCTCCACACGCAGACGTGCACGGTCCATTCCCATAAGGCAAGTGATGGCCTGGTGCACGTCCTCCTAGTGCAGCCGTCCTGGCTTCACGTCATCCTGGCTTCACGTCATCCTGGCTTCACGTCATCCTGGCTTCACGTCATCCTGGCTTCACGTCATCCTGGATCTTCAATTAAAGGTCAGCAAATTTCCTGGAACTTGGATGCCTGAAGGACAGAGTCTGTGTGTTTTGAAATTAGTTCCTAGGATTCTTATACAAACATGCTGTTTATCTGTCAGCTACATATTAGTCAGAGTTAACACTTACAGAAACAATGTCAAAAGAATGGTGGGATGGGTTACGCTATCCCACTGTTACAGTTTTCCACTTATTTTATAGATATTCTGGCTAAAGAGCTTCATTTTCTTAAGTTTCCTGGCTTTTAAAAAATTCCAACAATAATATTTGAGGCATTTTATTACTTGGAAGGCAGATCCATTTTAACAAGAACTCAAAGCTTTCGTAATGTCTCACCGTAAGTAAAGATCCTCAAAGGCGTCATTTCTCACCATAAGTAAAGATCCTCAAAGGCTCACAGAGAGGCAGGTGCAGGTCAGTCCCAGGGCTTCTTCCCTCGCCAGCAACTCCCTCTGCATAGCAGCTTGGCGTCTGCAGTGGTTCAGTTTGTAAAGTGGCAGATTATTGAAGGTACGGAACATTATAAATATACACGAAGAGCTTAAACTAAGAGTCTCCAAAACGGGATGTATGTTATCCATATGCGATATTTATTTTTTATCCCAAAACTTAGAAATAAATTAAGATTTCCTAATATTTAATCTGTGAATTGACAATAGTGCATGCATGCAATTTTCTGAGCAGGGCTATTGAAGACAGGACATTGTGAACATCACTCAGTCATAGGGTTGCCAGGATTTGGAGCTGACTCAACATATATAACATGCACAATCGGTGCTGGAAGTGCATGTTTGATTATTTTTGCTTATAGAGACATGTGATCAAGTAAGTTGAGAGAACACTGGGTTACCCTCAAGTAGTTAAGTTCATCTTATTGCCATTTTCCTTGCTGTGTGGAGATGTATTCTTGTTTTCCAAGCCTACATCTATCATGACTTTTGGTTTACCATATCCTTGGTGACTTATGCCACAAAGGGGTCCTTTCTGATGTCTCTGCTATACTTATATAGGTATATGTATTTTTATGAGAGGAAAATGGAGCAGTTCCTTCTTGTGGTGAGGTGTATTCTATGGGAGAACAATTCTAGTGTCACAGTCATTAAGAATATGTACTCTGGAGCCAGGTTCAAATCCTGGCCCTGCTGCTTCCTGGCGCTGAGACCTCGCGGGCAAGTTATTTTAGTTCTGATGCCACAAAGTTGTATTTTCTAAAATGAGGCAAAATAATACTTCATTGGTTTTTTGTGGTGGTTAAATTGAATAATGTATGGTGAAGCTTCTAAACAATGTCTGAATATACTAAGTTCTCAACACAAGTTGATGTGTGTGTGTATACAAATGGATTTTCATGTATAGAGAATATATTTTGTTACTTATGTGGAAAGCAAATTGCAATTGGTCTGGACAAATAAAGCTACAGAGAAAGAAGTAAAATTCTGATTATTGTAAACAATTCCTTTAAGATTTCTAGGAATTTTTTTAAACTTCTTGTAAGAACAACTTGTAGTATTTGAGGTAACATTGCCTGCAGCCTAGACTTGTAATGGAACGTCTCTGAACCACCACTGTTAAGGGATAGGATTAATACTCCTCTTTCTTTTTGCTCCTTTGAATGGATGAACTTCACTACAGCTTTCAAGTTCGCTGACCCTGTCTTCCACTAATCTACTCTACTGTTAAACCCTTCTATTGTATTTTTCATTTCAGGGATTATATTCTTCAGCTCTATGATTTCCATTTGGTGCTTTTTGATATTTTCTGTCTCTCCATTGAAATACTTTGTTTATGCATTGCTCTCCTGACCTTGGTGAGCATCTTTATAACCATTATTTTGAACTCTCTATCAAATAAATCACTTATCTTCATTTCATTAAAATCAGTTTCTGGAGATTTGTCTTTTTATTTGAAACATATTCTGTTTCTTCATTTTCTTTGATGTTCAGTTGGTTTCTGTGCATTAGATAAAGGAGGCACCTCTCCCAGTCTTGACAGACTGAAGACCCAGTAGACTGGTCTTGTGTAGGAGATGAGCCTCATCGATCAGCCCAAGCCCCTGGTTCCACTTAAACCTTTCTGATTATTCAAGTTATTGTCTTTGTTTTTAGTGGCCTGCAGTTCTTGAGGATGTGCCAAGGCCCATCAGTGCCCTAAAGGGGAGGATCTTAGCCAACACCTAGATCTGGACTGATTAGAAGGTAGAAGCTGGGAAAGTATGCAGTCAGACCCTTTCCAGGGAAAAACTGGGAGATAGGCTTTTTTTGTTTGTTTGTTTTCCCCTTCTGTGCTGAACTTTGGAGGAGTAGCTTTAGCGAGTATTCATGTGTGTACCCATTAGCTGCTGTTTTACCCACTACAGTCCTTGAGAATGAAAGCCCCATTGACTATCAGAGCCAGGTGATCTGGGAATCTGTCCCTTGAGTAGCACCAGACATGTGTACAAGATTCTTCCAGAGAGATGCTGGTGATCTTGCTTTAGTGTTGGAGTGAGCTGGAGTGAGGAGGGGAGAAGTGCCCATTGGCTCCTGGGTCCAGCCAGCCCCTAGATGCAGCTAATTAGAAACTGAACCCTCAGGCAATGGTTTGTATGCAGTCAAATCCTTTCCAGGGAAAGACTGGGAGATAGGTGTTTCTGCCTGCTCCCTCTACACTGAGACCTGGGGAGACAGCCATTGTGCATGCCTGTGTGACCATTAAGAACTGCTTCTTTGTTTGTGATAGTCCTGTGGGACACATGGATACCAGCCCCTTTGGCTTTCAGAGCTAAATGATTGGGTGGGGGGCTGCCCTCAGTTGGGAGCCATAAAAGTTGGGGTACTAGATGTGCGATCCAAACCTTTGCTACTTAGGGAGAATCCAGGAGTTGTGGGTTCTGTGCTGGGATGGGGTTTATGAAAGTGTGTTTCAGCTTTCCCTACTTGTTTCAATGTGCACATCTTCTCATTTACCCGACATATAGTAGTTATTCGGGTAGTTTCTGCTTTTCCCTCAGGGAATTTCTCTATGTACAGCTGTGTATTTGGTGCTTTGATGGGAGGGGGAATGTTGACATCTTGATCTCTCTAATTTAGTAGAGTTTTATTCTAAGCCGTTTAGAATCTCTTTATGC